GGGGGGGGAAAAAAGGTCTTACTTCCTCTTGAGCTTGAAAAATAGACAATCGATCAATCAATCAATCAGCCTCCTTCTTCTGATGAAGGTCTCCAGAATGCCCTAACATGTAGGACAGCCCTCACAAGAGAGCTGTGGTGCAACAAAATGCCAAAGAGCAGGAGCTGAGGCACTATGGAGGGTGAGGCAGAGTGCAGAGCGCTGGATCCCTCTGCTCTGTGCAAAGTGACTTGGCTCCTTCTCAAAGCCACAAGGGCAGGGCACTTCTGTACAGAGGGGAAGCACAAGGAGTGGGGTTTGAAACCTTCTCCCAGATCAGCCTGCAGCCCTGTGAGGCAATGGAGCCACTCTCTGGATCCAAGGAGAATTTCAGGGAAAAAGAAACTATCCTGTTGCCCAGTCGCACCCAGAGCACGGCAGTGACAGATGGGCCACCAAGGCCTGGAAACTGGCTTGGATGCTCCTGCATGGCCAGGGCACTGCCCAGTGCCTTCCTTGCTGACTCAAGTCCATCTATACTGAGTTTCATCCCTGTGCTGACAAAAGCAGAAGCAGCATTCCACCGACAGTGCTGTGCTTTCACCAGGACAGGCAGCTGTGCACGACCCCATTTAGCCACATGGGGATGGAGGTGTGAGGCCACTGTGCTGGGACCTTCAGGCTATGCTCTGCTCATCAGAAAACCCCACTTGCCCGCATACTGCACCCTGCTAGTGGTGCTCAGCATCCTGGGGAGGAAGAAGGAAGCCTACACCTCTCATTTTTTTAATTCTCTTGGCATAAAGGTTTTTGAATGTCTTGTTCCACAGTCTTAAAGCTTTTCTGCAAAGTTTCATGAATAAACAGCTGCACTGGATTTTTTAAAATTGAGATTAAAATGCATGCTTTACGCAGTTGCCATCCCCTTATATATAAACAAATGTTTTTTGGTCTAAGTATTTAGTAACTTCAACAAAATAGCTGTTTGGCTTAATAGATACCTCTTGTTTGTCTTGATTATACTTTTATAAATAGGAAAGGAAGCTGTAAGAGCTCCTGTAAGCAGCGAGGAAAAGAGATGCTGTGAGAAGGCACTGTAAGCTGGAAACATAGCATGGTATTAATATAAAAGCTACATTAGCCTGAACATTGTGAAACATAGCTGGCAAACGAAGTCACCCTTCTACACATGAAAACGTGCATGTGGCTGTAAAACTATGAGCACAGAACTGCTGGGACTTCTGCCCCACCAGTGAAGCCTGGCTGCCTGACTCCAACCCGACACTGCAGGCTCGCACTCAGTGTTTCTTCTTCACCTCAAAGCCTCTCCCTTCTTGACCTGCAGGATCGTGGGACCATGCTGATGGCTTTGTGCCAGAGCTGGTATCACTGTAGTGGCCTGGGTTTGCCTGAGGGACCTGCACTCACGCACACTCACTCCACTGGGATGTGGCATCCACTGGGGAAGCAGGAAAGAGGAAGACTGAGAGATGTGTGCAAGAGAAGGGAGGGGAACTTGTTGGAGCTTGAAGCTGAAGGAGGCAACAAGGCTGGAAAGGGTGGGTTCACAAATGGAAGGGGATGGGAGGGAGTTCGATGAATTGCAAATTGGGACATGATCTTCTCACAGGAAATGAACTCATTCAAATAGTGCTGTGCATGTGGCACTACTAAGTTGTCCCCATTTAGATCTGGGCAGTGTTTGGTTGTGGGATCTCTTCCCTGGAGATATCCAAACATTGACTGGATGTGGGCCTGGTTCCCCCGCTCCAGACTATCCAGATATCCCAGGTGGAGCGGGGGCTGGGCCAAGTGGACCCTGATTGCCCTGCCAGCCTCAGCTGTTCTAGGGTTCTGTGTGACTCTGTATTGCTGAGGTGGGACAGACACAGTAGATGTGCTGCCAGCAAAGGCTATGCTGCCATAGGAGAGTTGGTGTGGAGTCGTATGGGCAATGGGTGCTGTGTGGGAGAAGCCCATGCAGAAAAGAATCTGCACACATTGCTGAACGGAGCCACTCTGCCGTCAGCTGCAACAGCACTCATCCCAGCATCTAATGTGCACAGAGCTCTTCTAGCAGATGTAACTCCAAGGACTATAATTTTTTTGTTTGATATTTCCTCCAAAATAGAGCTTATGGCCGCAGTATCTTATTACCTGCTGTGTTCTCTCCCCTCCTGTTTGCTGCCCAGCACAGCTGCCTGCTGTCCATAACGTGGCCAAAGGGGCAGAGCAAGCAGTGCCAGAACAGGGGCAAAAAGAAGAGGAAGTAAAGGGACAATGAGAGGCAGAGGGACAGGTAGAGGAGAGGGGCAGGTGCTTGGGGAGAAGTGGCAGTGTGCTGGAACAGAGCTCCAGGACTACACTGCAGTAACAGGGCTGTTATTGCAGTTAGTGTTTGCATTGGGAAATGCAGGATGGCACTTTATGGCTGTAGGAAAACCAGCCCTGCCCCAGAGATAGCTGTACAGAACCTGTTTCTCTTCCCAACAGCTCTAAAAACAATGAACCATATATACATTGTAACTACCTTTTATAGCTGTCTTTGAAATTTCCCAACAAGAGATAATCTTTTAAAAGTGAATGAGGCATGTCAGTACCATAGGAAAATATATGGATGTTAAAGGAGAAACCCTAAATCATCCTCTGATGTTTTAAGATCATTGCTACTGGTTTCAGTGTAAAACACAGCCCAGGGACTGGCTGCTGGAGATCGCTGTCGCTGCCCCTGCTCAGCCCTTCGGTCTTTGTTCTGCCCGCTGAACTTCGTAATCCTGAGGAGATAAACGTACAGCCTGCATCTGCTCTGGGGAGAGACTGCTAGAAGAGAGACCCCAAACAATTAAATAGAACCTTAGATATATGCAATCATTTTAATGTAGTCCTTTGATATCGTTCAGCTGATTAAGTTCTTTCCAAACAAACTGCACACAGAGCCTGGCCTGGGAGCAGTGTGAGCCCACATGCACCCTGACAGTGTGCTTCTGCAAGCAGTGATCCCAGCCCCACTGTGTGCTCGGGGCTGAGAGCTGGGGATGCAAGAGGCCTGGGGACAGGAACTCAGAGAACAATGAGGGAACAGCAACTCGGAGGAAGTAACCTACTGGAGAGTGGGAATGCACTGGGAATAGAAAAATCAGTCCAATGGAAAGAGCTGTGCTACTGGGGAGATGCCTGCAGAGCAGGGGCAAGGGATGCCCACGGAGCTCTGGGAGGACTAAGGTGCTGGGAGGATGGGGGGCAAAGGCTGTCAGCATTGAGTGTTTCAGGGGTGCAATGGCCCAGCAATACCCCAAATCTGGGGTGTGAAGAGGAAGGGAGCAGATGGCCTTTAAATTCACTTTAACAAGGGCTGCTGTCCTCCAGCCAGCAAGGCAGTATTTCTGGCTTGCAGGGACTATTTTTTCCCTCCCCATCTTGTTGGACAGGAGCAGATGCAGAGCCAGCCCGTGCCCACCACAGGACATTCGGCTGAGCATAGAGCTGCATCTGGATGGGAGCTAACCTGACTGCCCCACTTGGGGCAGAGTGGGTCTGAACATGGGGCGTGGGGCCATCTGTGGGGTGGCAGACAGAGACAACGCAACATTTACAGCCCCAGTGGCCCAATTGCAGCCCAAGTGCTGATGGGTTTGACTCCGTTCACAGGGTTCTCTGCTGCAGGACCTGGGAGGGATAGGGAGAAGGACACCCCAAGGGCATCCGTCTGCTTTGTGTCCAGAGCACCTGTCCCCAGCAGGGAGCCTGCCGTGGATCCCTGACACGGCGGAGCTTGGGAGTGGAGCCCTTGCAGGAACGATATCCCATCCTGGGTCACAGCTCACTGGGGACGGTTTCTCCTGGTTGTCCTCACCTGGATCAGAGTCTGGGCGAGGAGTAGGGCAGGACAGGTGTCCTCAGCCTGGGAAAGAACAGCGCCTGGAACTCTGAGCTCCGGCGGACACAGTAAGGTCACCGCCCCCGAGGGAAGGAGAGAGCGGGAGGTCACACCGCCGGCGCGGAGGGGGATGCAGCGGACGCTCCCGAAGGGTGCGAGGGTCCCCGGGAAGCTGCAGGCCCTGTGCCGGGCTCCGCGGGCCCTCAGTCCGCCGGGCCGTGCGGGCCGAGCCCCGGGCGGGGGCCTGCGTTCACGCCGCTCTGTTTGCTCGCGGGCGGCCCGCGGTGAATCGTCTTCTGCGGGATAAAGTCCCTGTCTGCGCGGGTGAATTGCCCGTGGCCAAAGTCTAATGGCAGGGGACCGTCTCCTGCAATCGCCACGACGGGATGACTTTTACAATAGTGGGCTGATCGCAAATAAGTTACTAATAAGCCGCTTTGGTGTAAGAACGGCTTTATGCGTTATTTCCTCAGATCTGTTTATTTGCGAAGATTTCTTTCTTTCTCTTCTTTTTTAGAAAAAAATAAAAGTATTTCGTCCGGGAAAATAATAAAAGTACAGAAGTTAATATTTAGACATTCGCAGTATTAAGTAATAGAGCTATAAACTCTGAAATCCGGCACTTTCATTTTACTTAACAATAGATAACACAAAAGCAACAGCGAAACAGCCAAACAAAAGCGATCACCAAAATTGTTGTGACAGTACAATGACCCGACAGGGAAATTTATTCAATATGCTTCGCCATTGCATCGACACAGCGGGGAAAAAAAAAGCCCAAATGCTCCGAGAATAATACAACCAGGCAGGAGGTATTTGGGGAAGAAATTAAAAAAAAAAATAAAATAAAATAAAAGGAAAAAAAAAATAAAGGGAATGGGGGGGATTTATTTGGAAATACATTTTTAAGAGATACTTCACCTCCCAGATCCGTTATCAATGTGCATCGGACACGACGATACGAAACGAAACGAACAAACTAAAACCAGGTTCTGTACAGAGCTCTAAAATGAGCCGCGATATCTACAGGAGCAGGGCGGCCGAGAGGGGCCCGATCCTGCAGCCCCCCCAACCCCACGTCGGGGCGGCTCTGGCGGACGCGCGGTGCCAACGAGCCGCCCCGGGGCCCCGCGCACGGCCGCGGCTCCGCAACGCAGCGCTCAGCTGCGGCTCCGCGCCGCTCAGAAGTCCTGCCGCGGGGTGTGCGTCAGGCTGTGCCGCCGTAGATCACAGTTTCGCCTGAACACTTTGCCGCACCGCTCACAGTTGTAGGGCTTGATGTCTGTATGGGTAAGAAGGTGAGTTTTCAGGTTACTTCTCTGATTAAAGGTTCTTCCACATGTGGGGCATTTGTGTGGAGATTCCTGTTCAGATTTGAAGCAAGCAAAGGATTAATCCTTTACAAACTACCTGACTTCGCGCAGCACTGCGCTTCTCGCTATCCCACAACGCACGGCTGAAGCGTCGGGAATGGATCCCGGCCCCGCGCCGCGCCGCGCTCCCGACAACGAAACCCGCCCCGACGCCGCGGCGCGGAGAGCGCCCGAAGCGCGGCTCCGTCCCCCTCCCGCCCGGCTCTCGCAGAGCCCCTTCCCCGTCCCCGAGGCAGCGCCGGGCCGGAGGCGCCGCGCGGAGCAGGGCGGGCGGCGCGGGGCTCACCTGCATGTGCAGCGTTTTGTGGACCGCCAGGGTCCTGGACTGGCAGAAGCCCTTCCCGCACTCCTGGCACTTGAAGGGTTTCTCTTTGGAATGGATGTACCTGCAAGGCAAGCGCGGGCTGAGCGCCGGGCCGTGCTCCCCGACGCTTCTCTCCCGCCCGACGTGCGGCACCCGCGGCATCCGCACGCCGCCCCGCTTCCCCACCCGGGGCCGCGCTGAGCCGCGAGGCCGGCGGCAGCCCGTCCTGCTGCCCGCGGGGCTCCCGCACGATCCGCCTCGGGGCTCTGAGGAGGACCGGGGCTCCCGACCGACCCTCCCCGGGGCCGCGGGGCTCCGAGGAGAAGCGGGGTTCCCGCCCGCCCAGCTCTGAGCGGAGCGGAGGATCCCGCCGCCCGCCCCGCGAGGCTCCGAGCGCAGCCGCCCCCTCCGCCCCCCGCCCGCCCACCCACCGGTGGTCCCGCAGGTGGTCCTGCCGCCGGAACGCTTTGTGGCAGATGTCGCAGGTGTAGGGCCGCTCGTCCGTGTGGGTCCGCTCGTGGATGAGCAGGTTGTAGGACTTGGTGAAGTGGCGGCCGCAGAACTTGCAGATGAACTCCTTTTTCGTCTTGGAGGGCAGGCGGCCCCGCGACGGCTTCCTGTCCGGGGACAGCTTGCTGAGCCCCGAGAGGGGCGACGGCAGTCCGGGGCCCAGCTTGCCCAGCTCCCCTGCCTTCGGGGGGTCCTCCTGCGTGGCGGCCGCCGCCAGGTTGGCGAAGTCGAAGCGGGGCCGCTCCTTGTGCAGCGCCGGGAGGACGTGGGCCGCGGCGCCCTGCTTGGGGTGGAAGAGGTGCGCGGCGAAGGGCAGCGCGGGGAAGGGGAAGCGCGAGTCCACCAAGCCCTGCGCGGCCGCCATCTCCGTGAGGGCGGAGCGGGCGATCTCGTGCACGCCAGGGTAGCCCAACGTCCAGTGGTTCATGTGCATGGTTTGCACGGCGCTCAGCCCGTACAGCCCCTGCAGCTGGTCCACGGCCGCGGGGAAGGTGTTGACGGCCTGGAGGAAGGAGTAGTTGGTGAGCTGCAGGGACGGGTGCAGCGGGATGGGCGCCGGCAGCGCCTTGCTGCCCATCGTGGCGGGGCTCCGCGGTGCCGTCGGCGCGGGGCGAGGTCCTGAGGGAGAGCAGAGAGCGGGACAGCGTCAGCGCGCGGGCAGCGCGAAACGAAAGCGGGAGGGAAAGAGAGAAAAACGAAAAGGTCGCCCCTAGAGACGCCCCCCCCCGGCCGGCGGGGGGGGGGGGGGGGGGGGGGGGGGGGGGG